TACATGTTTATAAAGTAGGCATGACAACCTGGTGGGAAATTTTAAGTTATGTGTTCTTTGAAATGCTGTAGCCTTTGAGCAAGCTCACCATTGGCTCACATGCAAGAGTGGTAAAGCCATGAGAACTGATCAGTAGAGAGTACAAGCAGTGGTTACAGGGAGTCAGGGTGGTGAAAAATTTAAAATGCTCGGATTTCTGTCAATTTTTCAGTTTTTTTTTCAGAAACAGCGGTAATGAGATAACCTAATTAAACTTCAATGAAAACAGCACCTAACCTATTGCCAGTTCATGTGATGTCATATTCCAAAAGAAAAAAATATAAAAAATATCGGGCTCGAGTTGTCTGAAAGGTGGATAACGCTAACCACTGGAATCATAAATCACTATCAATTGGACAACATTGTTTGTTAACACTTGTCTAGTGGATAGGCGATTTATCTGGTGGATAGTGGTATCCAGCCTTCAAACAAATGGGGCCTGAGGTCTCAGTTTCATCAGATATAAGACACTCTAAGAACTTCATGTTTTACACGGTTTTTCGCTCGACTGGGTTCATGGTTTATTTGTACATGGAGAAAATTTTAATTTTCAAACTTTTGCATTGCGTGACACTATCACTATCAGTGCCCTGCCTCCCCACCTGTCGGCATTTCTCGCCGATTCATTTTCAAAGCTTTGCCATAAAAGTTATCTGGGTTTCTGGCTATGAGATGCTATTTCCTGGATTTTGGGAACATCTGTTACCAAGAGTTTATAATTTCCCAGATAATGGGTGGGTAGGGAGCTTGGGGCCCTCTCAACATTTCCTTTAGACTGCAAGCAGCCAGTCTTTTCTCTTAGGGTGTGATCTTTGCCTAGAATTATCTGCAAGCCTGAAGGTCGTGGGGCGGTATGGATGAGAAGAGGCTGGGCTGTTTTCATCCCTATCCCTTTGAGTCTAAAGCAATCTACCTCTTACTGCCTACCTGGTTTTGAGAGAAAAATATTCTGGTAGGAGGTCACATTTTCTTTCATATTTCAGGCTGACAGGACTTATACATTTGAGACAAATACTCCTCCAGTGTCCTATTTCCTCAAAGCAGCAGCAGGGATTGAGAAAGGAGCATCTAAACCAGGTAACCAGTTGTCCTTACCTCAGCTTTCCTTATTTCATTAGCCTATCATGCATCAGGTTAAAGTCCAGTCTGCATTTACAGTACTTGGTCAAGATGTCCCATACTACCAGAGCACAGCATGAAAAGAAAGCAATTATTTCTGCTCATCTGTGGAGAAGATCTGGGGGAGGGGACTCCCACAGAAAAATGACAGGGGTGCTTGTTGGAAATTTTGATGCTGTTTTGTAGGCATGGCTTGAAATCTCTCCTAAGTGGTACCAATTCTAAAAGCAACATTTTTAGTGACAATGACTTTTTTTGGCTCAGTACCCAGAAAGGTACCACAAGAGCTTTTCAAGGCTGAAGACCCTTATAGGTACCAAAGCCACTTTTTTAACCCCTTAAAGGTACAATGAGCACCATCCCCTTTTTATATGGGAGTTCT